CATTTTTTCATGTATTTATTTGCTATTTCTACTTCTTTGTCTGAGAAATGTCTGTTCATTTCAGATGCCCATTTTTGGATTGGGTCTTTAAACATTATCACTCATTTTAATCTTTACTATTCTGATAGGCAAAAAATTGTACTTCACAGTTTCACTGCATTTCTTTTACTATGGAAGTTATATTTTTCATATATTTATTGGCTGTTTTTGCACTTTTTTGGGGGGGGCGGGGTAACAGGGATCAAACTTGGGACCCTGCACTTGCGAGGCAGGTGGCGGAACCACTGAGCTAAATCCCTGGCCTGGTTTGCACTTCTTTTGTGAATTATTAGTTCATGTCTTTTGCCCATTTTTCTTTGGTGCACAAAGTAATCTTTCTCTTTTTTTCAAGACAGGGTCTTGCTGTGTAGTTCAGGCTGTCCTTGAGCTCACTGTGCAGCCCAGGCTGGCCTTGAACTCATGGCAATCCTCCTGCCTCACTTTCCCAAGTGCTAGGATTATAGGTGTGTGCCATCATGCCCAACTGCACAAAATAAGCTTTCTGAGATGTAAATCTGATTATACTGTTCTCATTCAATGCTTGCCCTAAATTTCCAGGTCCTTCAAAATTTGGTCCTTTACCTGCCTCTTTCAATCACTTTTTAAGATGTTTAAAAATGTTTTTGTATTGATGGTGATTGAACCCAAGGCCTTCATGCATACTAGGCAAGCACTCTACTACTGAGCTATATCATCAAACCCTTAAATCATCTCTATCACAAGGGTCATGGATCTTACATGGATCAATCAAAAGCTACAATCACACTAAGTTACATTCTCAAAAGTGCCTTGTGCCTCTGGGTCTTCATGCATACTCTTCCTGATCTCTGGAATGCACTTTGCTTTCTTCTTTGTCTAGCTACTTATTATTTATGTTCAGATCAATTTCCTAACCAGCTACCCTACCCAACCTTCTCCAAGGACAAAAACTGATTGCCTGCCTTTTCATGTTACATAATGACTGCCTGTTTACCTGTTTTAGATTTCCCGCTAGACTGAACTCCTTAAAGGAAGGAATCATATCTTAGTTGTTTTGTACTTGTAAATAAATAAATAAATCTAACTGCTTGCTAGATGTATCATATATA